CCTATCGGTTTCCTGAATGGCCTGCGGATTGAATGTGATTATATTATAGGGAGAGAAATGTTGAATAAATAGGTAATCTACATTGCAGATTTGATGATAGAGAGGCAAAGTAGTGAATAAAATGCAAAATACTATGGATTCCTGATTTCATATCATAAAAAGCGTCTCATTTTACATTGGCAGAACTTACGCAGAATATCCAGTTTTTGCTATCTCCGTCCCCGTAGTTCGCAGGATAGTTTGGAGAAGTGAAGATGCTGCTAATACCGGTCAACAACCACACCTCGTTCGCTATTTAAGGTAAACAATATTAATCTGAATATGTTTTATTTTTTTATTTAATCACTTGCAACAACTCGGAATTAAAAAAAAAAATAAAATAAAAAATAAAAAAATATCTTGAAGCAAAATATAAAAACGCAATTGTAATACCCAATTAGAAAAAAGTATTATGAGGTAGTTGTGTGTATGGGAAATAAAGTGACCTTACTAGATGTAATGAGAAAACAAATTTCGTTTTAGAATTACCAGCTGGTTTGAGAGGGTCCATGCATATCTCAGCTCTTACAGCTTTGGCGGTGCAGCTGAATCCATCGTAGAAACTTCCAGTTGAAACGTCTAACTTGACGCTGGTTCCTCTCTCATTCGTCTTCACGGCCTGGGGCCCAGCGATCCCGCAGTATCTACACGGTATTATTCATTACACAAGTATGCGAATGCTATAATACATTCACTACATTGGGATGTAGTGAATGTTTAGATGTAATATCTCAGGTCAACCCTATTGTCCTTTCATATGAGAACCAAATCTTGGACATTCCCTAAACAATAATGGGTTATTAAACAACTTTGAGCACTTGGAAACTCACTCGTTTTCCGACTCGACGTTGGAGATGGTAAGGGTGTCATCCAGACAGCCGAATAAAGACGCTCCGACTTGGAAGGAATCACAGGACACCTCGATCCTGTCAATGCTGTCGACCGCCTGTGCCAGAGGGGTTCGAAATTAGACTAATTTGTATTGTCATATGTCAGTTCATCATTTCGTGCAATTATGCCACCGTTGTCAAAAAAGGCGGATGCATAAAATGATACTCACACAGAACCTCCATTCCTTGCTGTCTCCACTGCCGTAGTTAGACGACGGGTAACCCGGGGAAGTGAAAGATTCTTCTTGGCCGTTTATCAACCATATCTCATTTGCTGTACACGTAAAGAAAACATTTATCTCTGTCTCTCTCTGTCTGTCTGTCTCTCTCTCTCTCTCTCTATATATATATATATATATACACATATACATAGATATTCATATATATATATATATATATATATATATATATATATATATATATATATATGTACATATACATATAACTGTATACACATATACATACAAATAGATTCACACGCACACACAAACACATATATACAAATATATATATATATATATATATATACATATATATATATATATATATATATATATATATATATATATGCATACATACACACAGACACCATTTACAAATATATTTATATATAATAGGAATGACGTTAATTCAGTTTCATATTATTAATTGTTAAAGGACTAATGATTTCCCGCTCGAACTCACGATCTCTGTTGATAGGGTCCTGACACAGGGTTCTGCGCGCCGTGGCAGTGCAGCTGAATCCCGGAGAGCCAAATGCCGATCCGGTGGACAGAGTGACTACGGTGTCGCGTTCAATCGTGTCCACGAATTTCGGTCCGTTAGTCGAGCAGAATTTGTTGTTACTGTACAAAGTAAAAAGACTCTTACTGTTTACAACACTGCTTGAAATGTGGACATGTTCAAGGAAATGTGTCCATGTACCCCGCGTCATGGAATTAGAACGAACTCTGAGTTACTTGCATTTTGGAATCAACATTGGAAATGGTGACGGTGTCGTCTGTGCACTCGAAGAAGAATCCACCAACATCAAAGTCGCTGCACGATATCTGGATGTGGTCGTTGGGGTCAACAGCCTGCATGGAAGAGTGCAAGGTAACAAATAAAATATTCAGAAGCAAAATGGTGTTGCAGATGAAGAGTTGGTTGTAAAGTTGTGACCTTAGCAGTATTAGTAGTAACGATTGTATGTATATTCCTATCAAGATACATTTTTTTTGTACTTTCATTATTATTTTTTTTTAGAATTATGTTGAAGATGAAAATACTCACACAGAAAACCCATCTCTTGCTGTCTCCGCTTCCATAATTGTCTGGATGGTTCGGGGATGTGAAGGTCTCACTGATTCCATTCACTAACCACACCTCGTAACCTGGGAGATATTTATATGCAGTTGTAGTGGTTGGCTGTGCAGTTGTAGTGATTGGCTGTGTAGTTGTAGTGGTTGCCTGAACTTACTTGCTCGGTCGGTGACGCTGTTGCAGTCTGTTTCCCTCACGGCTTGGGCAGTGCAGGTGAAGCCCTTGTAAAGACTTGACGTTGAGGTCGTGAAGGTAACTTTGGTTCCTCGTGAAGTCGTCTTTACGAGCTGTGGTCCGTCCGTCGTACAATATTCGCTAAAACATAAGATATTTATAAGATAGATATTAGTTTATAATAACACATTTAAAAACCTGGATGCTGAAGAGATGAAACAAGTCATTAGATAACTCAAAATATCAATCAGCTTATATCACCTGATGGATGCCTCGGTATTGGTGATGAGCAATGTGTCATCCGTGCAGCCAAAGAAGAAGCCTCCGACCTGGAAGTCGCTGCAGGTGATCATTATCCTGTCTGCTGCATTAACGGCCTGAAAAAGGAGCGAATCCTTCATTCAAATTAAATGTTTTGAAAATGTACAGATTAGTTGTGCAGGTGCAATACTGAAAAAATACTGAAAAAGTTGTCATAATAATGTAGATAAATAAATTACGTACACAAAACACCCATTCCTTATCGTCTCCACTTCCGTAACTCGAAGGATAGTTTGGAGAAGTGAAACTGTCAGTACTTCCTGTAGTCAGCCACACCTCATTTTCTGTAAAATATATGATAATATGATAAATAGATAAATAAATTATATCATGATTAATGGGAAACAAATTAATAATTTAAATTCAGTTGAACAGCAAGGGGCAAAAAGGATAACTATCACCCTATGTCCATATATAGCACTAATATACTGTATATAGGCAGATAGGCAAACAGACAGACAAATAGATGGATAGGTAAGCAGAAACAGAAATTTATTAACCACTAACCTGCTGGATTAGTGGGATCCAAACATATGTCCAGCAGAGGTGGATCGGTGTAGATTATGGTGGAGGCTGATTTGGCAGTTGTGGTGGCTGGTGCAGCAGTTGCAGTGGCTGGTTGTGCTGTAGTTGTGGCAGCTGGTTGGGCGGTAGTTGTGGCAGCTGGTTGGGCGGTAGTTGTGGTGACTGGAGCAGCAGTTGTAGTTTGTTGAGCAGTGGTTGGCTGCGCAGTTGAAGTGGTTGGCTGAGCGGTCGTCGTTGTTGCCTGTGCAGTTGTCGTTGTTGGTTGTGCAGTTGTAGTTGGCTGAGCGGTTGTAGTTGTTGGCTGAGCAGTGGTAGTCTTTGGCTGAGCAGTTGTTGTTGGCTGTGCAGTTGTTGTTGGCTGAGCAGTTGTAGTGATTGGTTGTGCAGTTGTCGTTGTTGGCTGAACAGTTGTTGTTGGCTGAGCAGTTGTTGTTGGCTGTGCAGTTGTAGTCGTTGGCTGAGCAGTAGTTGTTGGCTGTGCAGTTGTAGTTGTTGGCTGAGCGGTTGTAGTGGTTGGCTGTGCAGTTGTAGTTGTTGGCTGTGCAGTTGTAGTGGTTGGTTGTGCAGTTGTAGTGGTTGGTTGTGCAGTTGTAGTGGTTGGTTGTGCAGTCGTAGTGGTTGGTTGTGCAGTTGTAGTGGTTAGCTGTGCAGTTGTCGTTGTTGGTTGTGCAGTTGTAGTGGTTGGCTGTGCAGTTGTAGTTGTTGGCTGTGCAGTTGTAGTTGTTGGCTGTGCAGTTGTAGTGGTTGGCTGTGCAGTTGTAGTGGTTGGCTGTGCAGTTGTAGTGGTTGGCTGTGCAGTTGTAGTGGTTGGCTGTGCAGTTGTAGTGGTTGGCTGTGCAGTTGTAGTTGTTGGCTGAGCAGTTGTTGTTGGCTGTGCAGTTGTAGTGGTTGGCTGTGCAGTTGTAGTGGTTGGCTGAGCGGTTGTAGTGGTTGGCTGAGCAGTTGTAGTTGTTGGCTGAGCAGTTGTTGTAGGTTGTGCAGTTGTAGTGGTTGGCTGTGCAGTTGTAGTGGTTGGCTGTGCAGTTGTGGTTGGCTGAGCAGTTGTAGTGGTTGGCTGAGCAGTTGTAGTTGTTGGCTGAGCAGTTGTTGGCTGTGCAGTTGTAGTGGTTGGCTGTGCAGTTGTAGTGGTTGGCTGAGCAGTTGTAGTGGTTGGTTGAGCAGTTGTAGTGGTTGGCTGTGCGGTTGTAGTGATTGGCTGAGCAGTTGTAGTGGTTGGCTGAGCAGTTGTAGTGGTTGGCTGGACAGTTGTAGTGGTTGGCAGAGCGGTTGTAGTGGTTGGCTGAGCAGTTGTAGTGGTTGGCTGAGCGGTTGTAGTGGTTGGCTGAGCAGTTGTAGTGGTTGGCTGAGCGGTCGTCGTTGTTGGTTGTGCAGTTGTAGTGGTTGGCTGTGCAGTTGTAGTGGTTGGCTGTGCAGTTGTAGTGGTTGGCTGAGCGGTTGTAGTGGTTGGCTGTGCAGTTGTAGTGGTTGGCTGTGCAGTTGTAGTGGTTGGCTGTGCAGTTGTAGTGGTTGGCTGTGCAGTTGTAGTGGTTGGTTGTGCAGTTGTAGTGGTTGGCTGAGCAGTTGTAGTTGTTGGTTGTGCAGTTGTAGTGGTTGGCTGTGCAGTTGTAGTGGTTGGCTGTGCAGTTGTAGTGGTTGGCTGTGCAGTTGTAGTGGTTGGCTGTGCAGTTGTAGTGGTTGGCTGAGCGGCTGTAGTGGTTGGCTGTGCAGTTGTAGTGGTTGGCTGTGCAGTTGTAGTGGTTGGTTGTGCAG